AGAGTCCAATTTTCGTCCAAAAGTCATACTTAATGTAGACTTAAACACTCAAAAATATGTATTGGGGGGTTTTTTGGCACGAGAAAACCGAATCCGAGGTTAGTTTTGAGATACAATCAATTTTTGATACAGTTTCCTTGGAAAAATCACAAAAAAATTGAATTTTCGTATGGGAGCCATGCCTGTTTGCTACTTTAATGACGCGAAACTTTGCACAGACTATTTTTTACACAAAATAATAACATTCTGAAAGTTTGAAGAGATTTCAATTAAAATTAGGGGTAACTCCCATACAAAATTTACAATTTTTGGCTCAAAAACGAATATTTTGTATGGGAGGTACCCTTAATTTTGGTTGAAATTTCTCCAAACCCTCCGAATGTTATTTTTTGGTGAAAGAAATAACCTGTACAAAGTTTCATGCCATTAAGGTAGCATATAGACATGGCTCCCATACAAAAATGCAATTGTGACTTTAGTTATGAGAAGTGTTTCAAAAATAATTTTTATGGCAAAATTAACGTCAGACATATTTTTTATAGTGTTTTGTTTGAAAATAGAATACTTTCAAATGCCGCACAAATGGGTTCATCATGAAAGTGTTAAAAATCTTTTCTCGGGTACTTCTGCTATTAAATTAAAGAATATTTCGTTGCCAAAGTTGAAAAATATTTTTTGGTTTCGAACTTTACGACGCTTGAAAGGCTTGAAAAATCGAAAAAATATTATTTTGAACTTGCTTAATAAAATACGCAACTACCACCGTGCGGAAAAGTTCGTCTTACTCCCGTAAGACTCTTTATTTTTGATTTATTTTTGATTTTGAGTTCGGCTTTTGAGTAAGTTAAATTGTCACTATTTTGCACCAACACTAACTAATTAATAACATTTGTGTTATTTTGGCTAATTTTGCACCACTCTTTGCAAGAAAATCTAAAAAATCCAATCAAAATTGTCATTAAAAATTTAAATCTGTGTCTTACTATTGACTGAACTTGTTCGTGTTTGTGTGTCTGTGTCGCTACGATGAAAAATAATAGACGAATTTCCAGGGAATGGCGTCAAAAAATTGAATCATGGCTGCAAGCCAACGAACAAGATGAAAAACATGGCGATGAACATAAACGACGCACCAGACGACTAACCGGAAATCGACGTTCATTTGAAAATGATTCAGGTTTGTTACTTTTAATAAACAACAATTCTTTTTCCCAATTTTTTTTTTTGCTTCAAAAATGAACCAAGTAGATATGAATTTGTCCAAATACTAATCTTAGATTTCATGTTAGATCCCTTTCATTTTCTGTTTCGTATCCTCTTTGCATATTTAACTCAGGACATTCATGATGTTTGTTTTTTTTTAGCAGAAAATGAGCGTAGTAAATTGGATCCATTGCCCGAAGAAAAAGCCGCAGTAACAACAACGCCACCGCAAGCAAATGAGCCATACAAACGTGTCTACCCCGATTGGAAGCCAACCACATCATCTGTTGAAAGAGGTGATTCGGAGTCAACACAAGATTTAATGTCCAAAGAAAAAGATGACACCTCATCTCGGCCGGAAAAAATGCGTGCATCCCAATCGTCAACGAGTTTATCGTCAAGTGCAACACCATTGCAATCAATAATGGAAGAGGATCGTCGCACAAGTCAAGATATTCCATTGAAAATAAACGTCCGTCGTCCGTCAGAAGTGAATGAATATGAGCCCGTCTATCAAAAACATACCAGTCCAGTTGGAATCACCAGTGATTCACATTCGATTTACATACGTCCATCGGTTTCCAATAAAAAATCAACAGCCACATCGCCCGAACGTCGAGAAAGTATCACAAAGTGCCATTCACAAGACGCCGAAACGCCCGAACCGTTAAGCAATAAAATTGAAATTGATTCGGATAATATCGAAACGCCGCCCGTTGTTCGAAAGAATATAATGAGCGATGATAAATCGAGTATGGTATCTTCAGTGAAGAAATTACAAGCACCACGTCCATTGCATCAGCGAACAATTGACGAATCGAAAGCAAACGAAAGCGTCGAAAATAAACCAAATGAAACTGAAGTGCTTGGAGATGGTCATTTCGATCGACATTCATCGGCACGCCGTACAAGACGCTATCGCCGACCAACAGATCACAGTAGTGGTGCCGAAGATCGAAATGATTCCAGTCCTGAAACAGTGCCAGCCACAACTCCAGTATTTCCCCCCGCTTCAAGTGCTCTGTACAGCACAAGTGCCGAACATGATGTCACTGCCAATAGCAAAGACGATGTATCACCGGATCGAGGTGAAGATATGCTATTAAAATCAAAATCAATGGACATTCTATCACGAATCGGTAAACATGGTCGAAACATGAGTTCGATCAATCAAGAAGCAGTTCGTGAAGCGATTCGCAAATTAAAATCACCAACCGAAACACCCGAACGCATTTGGAGTCCACCGCGTGAAATTGTTGTCACACCAAAAGATCGAATTATCCCATCGAAGGTCATCAATCATGAATTGAACGATGAAGGTTTCGAAGAGACACAAAGTTGTCAGAGCCTAGTATCCGATGGAAAAGATAGCACATCATCGTGTAATGAACCAGCCGATCATTCACAATCACATCTAACCGCATCATTGAGTCCAAATCAATCGAAATCGAAATCGAAATCAGTTGTTAAATCGTTAATAGAACGCAATCGTCAAAGTTTAGAACGTAGTCGATCATTGCGTGCGGTTGCAACACCACATTCACGAACCAGCATCATTCCAAAGAGAACGAATTCATTGCGTCGAAATATTGACACCGGTGCCATATCGGCCAATCGACAAGACGTCGAACGAAGTGGTTCACGCACCAGTCTACGCAGTTCACGTTCATCGCTCAATAGTTCAGCTTCGATAAATACCGTACGAAATATGGGACTTAAACCAACGACAACACAATCACCATCGGCAACAGCAAGACATTTATCAAATTCGGCCACGGAAAAAACATCGTTGCGAAAAAAATTGGCACAACAACAAAGTAACCCATCGTCAAATACACAAAAGGCCACACTCAAAGGAAGCAATAGTTTAAATTCATATTTAAGAACGCCGGCCAGTCGAAGTTCGAGCAGTGGTTCAAGCATTGGCGGTCCATCATCGTCACGTCAATCGTATACAAAGACTTCTAGTTCAAATTCGGCAACACCGCCCATATCAAATTCACCGCAACGGCCAGCATTTCGTAACACCGTTTCCGTATCAAATCATTTATCAACATCGTCATCACAATCAAACAGTCAAAAAAGCGCAAACGCAATACGTTCTAGTTCAAAATTAAATAATTTAAAGGGCATTGCATCAAAAACGTCAAATCGAGTGAGCAGTTTTATGCGACCAACCACTTCCAGTGCAACTAAAGTCAATTCACCAAGCAATCGCAGCAAATAAACAACGGTTTTTCTATATTTTTGATTGCACAA